TCTGTATACCTGGACTTCCTAGGTCTGTGGCTAACACATCCAATTCTTACATAAGTGCACTTGAATTGGTTTCAGTCAATTGTAAGCTGGTGGAAGAGTCCTGGCCAAAACAGGTAGATGTGGAGAGAAGGACCACCTTGGGACATTGGTAATGAGAAAGAAGACACAGGTGAAAAGCAGGAAGAAATGGCAGGCCTTGGTTAGAGGCTGGATATATTCAATGCAGAAGAAAATAGTCAAAACGGAAAATTCAGGGGATTTGTGGACTCACTGACAGAAATGGGGGTAGTTGGCAGGAGGAAGTGGGTTTGAATGGAAACAATATCCAAACCATGACATCTGAGTTCCTGGTAAAGTTGGGACATTGTCAGTCTCTGGGTTAGTAAGATGACCCACACTATACTGGTATGACAATGTAAAAGAAATGAAACAATAGCCTAATCGTGCTTTGTGTCTGCATTCAGCAGAAGGACAGAAAAGCATAGTTATGCTTCCCAAACCCATCCTCTCCATTACTTCTTTTTTCTCTGTCCAGCTAAAGCCCATGGGGAATTTGTAGTTCTCAAAATGTGGTCCCGAGGTCGGCAACATCTGTATCACTTGGGAGCATTTTAGAAATGCAGATTCAGGAAGGGAATCAGAACTCTGGGAGGGTTCCAACGATCTATATTTTTAACAAGCCCTGTCATTGAGACTGACGTCCACTCAGGTTTGAGAACCGCTGGTGTCAAGTTTTCTTTTCATGTTGGCTCCATAGCAGGTGAGGTAACCCACTGCTTAGTGCTATGATTTCACCCAGTAAGAATGGCTCCCTTAGAAAAATCATTTTCCTACATCTGTTCACTCAAAAACTGTGTTGACTATGTGCTATCTGCCAGGCACTGTGGACACTGCAGTGAACAAAATCTGACAGTCAGGCACAAAAATACCTATATGCTGTTATAGCTTTTAAAATTATGCCCTGGAAGTGACTCCCAGGGGGCCTGAGTGCTGCTGGTTAGGGAATCATGAAGGTGCGCCTAATGAAATGACATTTAAACCAAGAAAGGGTGACCAGGGGTTAGTCTGGTGAAGGGCACAGAGGGTAATGGGGAGGCATTCTAGGCCTTAAAAGAGACAGGCCTGGGCACTTTCAGGGAACTAAAGACAGGCCAGCGCGACTAGGTCATGGTTAATGATGGGTATTGAAGCTGGAGAGGTAGAGCTGATAGATAGATCATGCAGGGGCTTGTAAACCACATTAAAGATTTTGAACTTACCACCGAGAGCAATTCAAAGTCTGTGGAAAAGTCTCCAGCATGCGCTGACATGATCTAATTCACACTTTTTCCAAATGTAATTCTTTTTATTCTCTAAAAAGTCACAGCTTTCCCTACTACACAACTATGGGTGTAGGGGCATGATGATTTAAATGTCCTGTAAGTTATAATTGGCTAATAGAGAAACTTTCTCTGAATAAGGCTCTGATGAGGGTGGGAAAGAGCACAGAGTGTCCACGGGGAGGATGGCATGCCAGGAACAGAGAAGGAGGAAGGCCTTAGGAGCTGCTTCTGCTTTGTGGTGTGGCTGAGACTCGCCCTGCCTATGCATGTCTGAAGCAGCAGGAGTGCCAGTTCAGAGGCAAGTACTGTTTCTCCACGAGCCAGCTCCCTTCCCCTTGTACAGGAGACCCTGGTGCTCAGGCCACGTCCATGTGGAGGCCTTTTTTCTTTTTTCCTACATTTAAAGATTTCATTCACTTTCCAGACGCCACAGTCACCTCCCTGAGCATGATACACAAATCTGTATGTCCTCCCTGGCCTTGAGAAGATTTTCATTTTTAATACCTTTGTGCTAGTGCCCTGTGCTAATACATCATGTTAATGACAATTGCAAATATGCAATTGCTTCGTGTCGCCCTGTGTATAGTTCACTAATGCTTGAAACATCATACAGACCCAGCCCTGACTGTTCTCCTGCATTTCACTGACAAGTCTCATATTGTCTGCTGGACAGCTGACCCTTGAATGTCATTGCGACCACAAATAGCCTGCCTGTAATTGAACTCATCATGTCTTTCCCACTCCAACTTGCTTCTGACCTCATCTGCCTTTGTCAGCAACATCGGCATTTATTATGTCCCAAGTTCCAAGGTTTAGAGTCATCCCTGACTCATTTGTCTTATGCTGTCACCAGTTCCAAGCATTAAGGTTGTTCCTATTCACCTGGTGGAATGCTGGTATGCCTGTGTTCCCCCCTTTCATTACCCTTGTCATCTTAGTCCCACTTATCCCAAAGCAGGATACTTCCACCATATCACAACTTGTTCTCCTAAAGTCTAGGTTCCTTTCCCAGTACATCCTCAGAACATCATGACTATTCTGTACACGTTATTCTTTATCAACCCTATTTTATTTAGCAAATGCTCTTTGTATTGTTATTTTTATTTTTGCTGTGGAATATTCTTTCTTTCTTAAAGGCAAAGTATGTAGAACCTCATGACAGAAGAGAGATTCATGAAGCTTCTTTGGTTGAAGATGGGCTAACGGGAATACAACCCCCTTGATCTGTCCTCAACTTTTGAGGCAGTCTCTTGGCACCAAGAGGCTCATTGAAGCAGCTTGAAAACAAGGATGTACAGAATAAACTCCTTGGAAGGATATGCATGTTTTGTTTACAATGTCTGTTAAAAAAATTAGGTGTTATCAACCTATGCACACCTTTCAGCCTAATCACACAAATTCACACAAAATTCTTAAGTGCAGTGCACCATTCCCACATCCCTGTCTGGGCTCATGGTGTTTCCTCTGCCTGAGTGCCTACATTGCCATCCATGAACCTTTGCCAATCTAAATTCTACTCTCCTCAGTTCCAATCCCCCTTCTTAATTCCAAGACTGTTCCAGCTCTCAGCAATTTTTCTTTCTTCAAAGTCCTGCAGTATTCCTCTTTTTTAAATTCACCCTGTGCAATCTTGAACTTTCATATTTTCAGGTGGGCATTCAATTTCTCCCACTAGATAACAGGCCACGCAAGGCAAGAATTAAGTCTTGTCACTGTTTATCCTTGGTATCTAGTACAATATGCTGCCCTTAGTATTTGCTTAGTGGGTACATTTTGATAGTAACTCACAGCGAGGGGTAATAATAATGGGCCCATCAATCTCACTTGCATTAATAGGAGTCTAAGTTAAATGCCCTGTCTGTGAAAATGTGCCTCCAGAGCAGCGCTGTTAAATTAGGAGAAACAGCCACTCCGACTTTAATTTGCAAGCATTATTTTTTCTCCAATTACCATTAAGCCTACAACTAGCATCTTTGACTGTTTTTCATTACATTATGTTGGAAGTAGATTTGGGGAATGGCAACAGATGGTGGCAAGAGGGGGACTCTTAATCTAGACTAGAAATTGTTTTATTCCATCCCCCAACATTTTAGCTAAGCCACACTTAAATCATATTGAAAAGATTCCAAGAAACTTACATTAATATATAAGTCAAATGGTGTCACTTCTCTTTTAAATCCCTTGGCATGTCTTACATGGCCCTCTCCACCTCTCTGTGCCCATCTCCACCACCCATCCCCCTCGCTCACCACACCCTGGCCACAACAGCCAGCTTTCAGTTCCCTGAATTACTAAACGTCTTCCCTCCTCCTGGCTTCATGTAGTGGCGCTCTGCCTGGATGCTTCTCCCTGTTTCTTTCCTTGATCAATTCCTGTCATCCTTTGAGCCTCAGCCAGCTTGTCACTTCTTTGAGAGAGGTCTTCTCTGACCTCCCAGAATAAGTAAAGCTCCCTTGTTACGTGTTTCCATATTCCTGTCATACTTGTAATTATATAATAACTATAAAATAGTTTTGTGTCTCTTATCCCTATCAGGCTGCAAACTCAAAGATGTCAGAGACTGTACAAATGGTATGCATTGTAATATTTTCAATGCCTAGAATATAATCTGATGCATGACAGATGCTTGAATAAATAAATAAATGAGCATTTTATGAATGACTATCTTATAAAACTTGCAGAGAAGCAAACCATCTAATATTATTTACATCCAGAGTTTAATTGCCCACTTGTTCCGCCTTGCATGGACATAGGCGACATTGTCAGGGTCACGTGATTCACATGACCCACACAAACATTTTCTTTTATAAAGTAACTTTAACTTTCAAAAAAACAAACCCAAACAATCAAGCATTATGCAACAAATACTTCACTTGCTCCCTAACAGAATCCAACCAACTTAAATGATTGGGTATAATATGAAAAATTTAAAAATCTTTGTTTTGTTTAAATTGTCTCCTTTGTGAATAACAGCATGGATATTCCTATAATTCTTTTTAACATTAAGTTATTTTGAAAATGTGTGCAGTTGGGTAAAAAGTGCAAAACAGGAGTCTTACAGCTATGAAATATCTACATGCTGAAACCTTTTAGTGTGTGATTATCACTAAAGTTAATGTGGTCTCCTTCCCTGAAGATTCCAGCAACCCCACTGATAAGTCCATGACCTGTCTGTGTTCTTTCAGATTTGAATTACCCTGCTGAGTAAGGCACTTGGAGAACAAATTAGCACCAACTGCAGAAGAGATTTTTCTGATACAAAAATTTGACCTTAAAACCCCCAAGCCTTGAATATCTTTGTGACAGGGAGCTAACAGTTCACCAGATTTGCACTGAAGAGTCTAAGGTTTCATCCACTCTCACTCATATTTACTCCACTAGTTGTCTTAACGAGAATGGGCATAAGACTCAATTGGTTTGTTGTTCTCTTTCCCAGGATAAATGATTATTGAATTAAAAGAAGAGGAAAGGAGAAATCTAATTCTATTCTGCAACAGTTTTCAAATCCATGGATACTTCCACATCGTTTTACTCAGACCCACCTCTTCTCATTTTACCACCTTATATCCAACCAGACAAATAACAGTATGAATAAGTACCATGTTTTAACTCACTCCTAACTGACAGCAAAAAGAAATACATTTGGATGGCATCAAGTCTTTCTCTATAGCGACTGACCTGCATAGTTTTACATTATCAGAAGCATCGTGGTAGGTGGCAGGGGGCTTCTGAACAGAGTTATTCTCCTGGAACCTTGCACCATCCACATACTCGCTGCCTTCTGTTACTGCCAATATTTCAGTGCTGCAACCTGGCTCTGAAAATCTTTTCTTGATTGTTTCATTTTGCCTAAGACTATGCAAGAGCTGTGGGTCCCTGTGGTGGTATCTGCCTTTGCTTCTTTCATGGTTCCTTGAGGATCTCTTAATCTCAAAGGATCCTATAGGCAGGGAAACGTTGTACTCTTGGTGCCATGGGCCTTTTCCTCTGCAGAGATTTAAGGAGCAACTCTCACATTTGATCAGCTCTTGTTGCTTTTCACCTTTGGATCCCAAATCTACCAGATCAATTCTATTTGGAGAAGAAGGCCCATCCAAGTTTCCACATGATTTATTGTTACTTCTTCTTCGTGACAGTCGGAATGGAATTTGGGCTCTCCTTTTTGCCTGAATCCAATGACTCTCATCTGTGGAAGATGAATCTGAAGAATCTGTGTGAAGCTCCCTCCATCTGGGGCTTGATATTTGGAGGTTGAAATCATTTCTTTTTCCTTTTACTGGCTCTCCTGTATGCTCATATCTCTCAGAGGCCCTTCTCCTCCTCCTAGGCCTCTGTTTTACTGATTTCTTACCAAAGTCCTTCCTAGCAGGGCTCAGAACCATGACAGGGGTGCACTGCTCAAATGCATCTTCTGACATATCATGCAAGATGGCAGATCTAGACAAAGCAACAGGCAAAGGATGGGAAATGGGAATGGAGAGGAAAACCATGGGGAAACAGAGAGAGAAAATGATGAAAATGATAGCATGGACCAGAAGCTGGTAAATAAAGATCAAATGAAGAAAATGCACTAAAGGAAAAAAACATTAAGCCAGTATAAATCACCCATGGACAACGTAAGGCAAAAGCAAGAGCCACATAGTCTCAGCATGTAAAACGAGAATACAAAACACTAGTCTAAAAATATTAAATGGGATCGTTTGCTGAGCACTTACCTGCAGATGTCCTGAGTGGATGGACAGACAGACAACCTTGACTGGCTCCTGGGAGCTGTCCCTGTTGTTGGGCTGCTTGCCTGGAGAAACAAGTTAGATAATTTGGCATCTTGGTTAAGGTAATACATGGTCGATATTTTGCTTTTTTTCCACATATTTAAAAAATTACAACAAACGTGGCTGCCAGTCATGTTGCTTATAACACGGCTCACAGAATATAGGAAGTTAGATGTTCGTTTTGCAAAAGTAAAACTTTTTTGAGGAACTTGAAACAGCTGAGATGCTGTACCACTGCGCTGTTTCTTCATTTGTGAGAGAGGAAGATGAATTTACAGTTTCTATTCTACTTACTGTAAACATTTGAGTGGAATGGCTCAATTTGCATTGGAAACAAATGGAAAACAGTTAAATATTTTATGATATAAAGGACATAAAGGCTATTATGTGACAAGGATGATAATAATCTGGGAAGCTGAAATAATCAAATAGCTATTAGATTGCTATATGCTGCCTGGAGTTAACATTATGTCACATCAAAGCTCCATGAGATAATATATTTGAAAATAGTTTGTAATATGTAAAAGCCTACAGTTATTACTATTTCATCGTTGAAACTAATACAATGTATCCATTGTAATGTTATTGACCTTTCATGTCTTTGAACCCTGTGACCATACTGAATCTAAGAATAAGAGAGCCCGGAATAATTCAGATTGATGGCACAAAGATGAGTATATTTCACTAAATTCCTTCCTTTGAGACACAGCATTTTCTTCATTCTATTTGACTTCTTTAACCCATTGTCCTTGATATAGATGATGATAAATCAAAATGAGAATTTATGTGCTGTGACATTATCTACTGTCTCTGTAATCCTTATAATAATCTCTCAAGTAGGAAATAATGATAACAGTTATAAGTGAATATTATGTGCCAATCACCCTTCTAAGTCAATTTCATCTGTGAACTCATTAATACTCACAAGAAACATATGTGGTAAATACTATAATTACTTGATGTTACAGATGAAGAAACTGAGAATTTGGTGCTGTTTCTTCCTAGTAGGTGTTACAGGAGAGGTTTGGATGAGGAAACTTGCTCCTTTGCCTGTTCTCACACCCTCCTAGCAGTACATTTCTCCTCCTTCACACAGGAGGAAACCAAGGAAGTCCTAGCTCAACACTCAGGCCAATCTGACTGTGCAGATAGAATACACAATTTTGCCATCAAGAAAAATAATAGTAAAGTTAGAAAAATGAATCCCCAACTTCAAAGTAGCTGTAAAAATTCCCATGTTTGAGATATACACACATTTGGGACCCAGAGAAAGAGAAACTAATTCTAACTCTATTATGTAATAGATACAATGACGAGTTCTGAGAATAAAGAAAGCGGTGGCATCCAGAAGGGGCTTTGCTTAGTGGAGAAGAGATGTAAATGAACAGGCAATTTGAATGGTCTAGTCTATTCTGGTAGATTTTAGTAATAGGGGTTCTGATGAAGGAAGGGCATCTCAGGTAGAATGGAGCAGAGATTTAAGGTAAATGTCCCGGAGGAAATGACACCTGAGCTTGGAAGAGTGAGTGTGAGTAAGTGGGGAAAGGCAGTCCAGACAGGGAGAAGAATGTGCAAAAGCACAGACTAGCCTGCATGTGGCTTGTTTGGGAAACACAGAAAGTTTTGTAATGACTGTAATGAGGGAAGGTGCTGAATGAAATAAGAGGTGATATGAAGACAGGATAAAGGAATAGACAGAGATCCTATAGGACACATTAAAATGTCTGGGTTGTACCCTCAAATAAATGGAAAATCATTGATAGATATTCATTAGCAAATGGAAATTATTAAATTTGGGCACAAGAATGGTTACTTTGGCAGCTGAGAATTGGAAGCAGGGAGAAGAATTAGGATTCAGTATATCCAGGATACAGCAGGGATTGAGAAATGGGATAATTTAAGAAATACAACCCCAACTGGTTGATTTATTTTTAAATATGATAAAAATTATTTGAAAGATCAGTCGAAAAAAATAACATGGGGAAACTAGGGAAATTCTTAATAAAAACTAAGTGGGATCATGGGTAAAAGTACTTTTACCAAATAGCAAAACAGTATGAATCTCCAGAAATTAGAATAATATGTGGGTGGCAAAGGAAAAGACACATCATTAGAATAGATATCTATCTATATCATCTATCTATCTATCTATCTATCTATCTATCTATCTAATCTACCTTTCTATACCTTAGTACATAATAAAGTTGCATTTCAAGTCAGTGGAAAAAGACTAGGTTATTACATAAACAGCACGGGGAAAAGTGACCAGTCATTGGGAAAAATGTAAAGCTAGCTCCCTTCCTCACTGCCTACACTAAAGTTTAGGTGGATAAAAGGCTTAACTGTAGTAAAATACAACCATAAAAGTATGAGAAGAACACATAACTGAATATGCTTATAATATTGTGGAAGGGAATCTCTTTCTTAGGATGAAATAAAACAACAAAAATAACACAGGAGGGCTGGCCGAGTGGCGAGTTGGTTAAGAGCTGGCTTGGGACGCCAGAGGGCCCCGGTTTGGATCCCACATATGAGGGCCAGTGACACTGCCCTCCACAGCTAAGATGCTGAACAACAGCTCAACCTGGAGCTGGGATGCCATGAGTCGCTGGCGACGGCGTAGGCTGCAGCCCCTGTGGCAGTGGGTTGCCATGGGTTACCGTGTGTAGCCAGCAGCCAGGGTGAGTGGCCCTCAAGCTGCCGTGAGTGGCCGTCCAGAGGCCAGCGACTGATCTGCCTTGCCCAGGAAGAGTGCAATGATGGTGCCAACTTGGGCCAGTGAAGCAACGTCCTCCACAACTAGACTGAAGAACAAAACGACAGCAACTTGTCTGTTCCCCTTCCCCCAATTCCCCAATAAAAATCTTTAAAAAAAAACATAGGAAAAGGCAGATAAGCATGATATTGAAAAAACAAACAAAAACCCTTCTAATTTATAAAAAAGGAACACATACACTCACATATCAACACTACTCCCGAAAAATTTCAAAGCCATAATAAGGCCATACTCCTAACACATGTTAGGAGTGGCCAAACAGCTAATTTCTCTAGTATTCAGAGATATTTTACAAATCAAGGGAGAAAAGTTGATTAGTCTTTGAGAAAAATGAGTAAAACACAGAGACAGGCAGTTCACAGACAAGGAATTACACATGGCCAAAAGCCATGTGTAAAAAGAGATGCAAAATCTCCAGCAAAAAAAAAAAAGTACATTCAGTTAGAAATGGTATTTACTTTCACTTATCCGATCAGCACATTTAAAAAGATTGATAATCCCCAATGTACTGAGGTGGGAAAAACAAGCATCACGGTATATTGTAGAAGTATGTAATTGTAAATTGGCACAACTTGTTGATGGGCAATTTGGTAAACTCTATTAAAACAAAAAATGCCTACGATATTCACGTCAGAAATTCTACTCGTAGCAATCAGTTTTGCTAAAACACTTGCACAATTGCCCAAAGATATTTTCATTATAATAAGAAGGTTCATTATAACATTGTTTGTAATAGTGGGAGATTGGAAACAGCCCAAATGTTCCGTTATTTACAATGAAATACATAAGCCATTAAAAGGAATGAGATCTACTGCAGGCATGCACACACAAACTCACACAGTTTTTTTGTGTAGGATATATTTTTATGTAAAAAGTCAATGTAAGCAAAGCAATTCAAAATTTTAGGTAGTATGATCCCATTTGGGTATATAAAGCTTTCATGATGTATGTTATCATATGAATAGGACACATTTGGGGAAGTATTTGTTCAACCATTAGCAGTGATTGTCTTTGTGAGGCAGGATTACAAGAAACCTTTATTTTTTAGGTTATCTATTTCTGTAATATTTCAAATCTTTAAGTTTAATAAAAGGGAAATAACTTTTTAATTATATTAATGATGATGTCATAAATTACAACTATGAATATGAATAATCAAGATTTCTGGGGAATTTTTCCTTCAATATGTAGTGATACAGTCATTGCTTATTATCCCCTTTGAGCTACACTTCCCTCCTTCAATGAAATGCAGTCATGATGATATCCACATAAAAGGATTGTTAGGAGGGGGACATGAAATCACTGACCAGAGAAGTGCTTTGTAGAGTGTCCAAGGGTTGTAATAGGACACCAATCTTGAAATATTAGAATTATCTTTATTCATTCTCAGCAGATCATGTTTTCTCCTCAAAAATGGTCTCAATGGTGTCCCCTCATTCAGAGAAAAGACACATAGCAGCCTTAAGTCAATGATTCTCAACGCTGGCTAAAAATTAGAATCACTGGGGAGGTTTTTTCTTAAATACCTTTCCCTGGGTTTTATTTTAGAATCTGAGGAATAGGACTCAGGGCACAGACCCTGACCATCAGTGTTCTTAAAAGCTGCCCAACTGACTCAATGTGCATCCAAAGTTAAGAACCACGGGCTAAGGTCAAAGGGTCAGTGTCTTAAATCAAATTCCATATTAGTTTTTCTTCTTCTTCTGAGAGTCCAGTGATAATATTCTTGAAAGCCTGATTATTATTGTTTTTGATAAAGTGTTTTCTAAGTCGCCAAATCTCACTTTTATTTATCTAGAAGAGATCTTGGACCTCTGGTCATAATTTTATCACAACCGATAGCGGAGGAAGATGAAGGGTAGGATACGATAGAAATTACAGAGGCAGATGGACCTGAGTCAGCTCTCCCATCCCCACAGCCTGATGTGGGTGAGGGAATCCACAGGTCTTGTGCTTTTGTGAGTGTGTGAAATATAACGAATTGCTAACCTGGGGAAGTAAGCAAGAGTCACCAGACTTAAAGTTAATGTGACTTTATAACAGAAAGCCATGGAAAAGACTACCCAGGCGAGAGGCCTGGCAATGCCAAAAAAACCTCTACTGGGCTGGAAGGTAAGAGCCCAGCTTGGCTGTAACAAAGAGCTAATTACCAAGTTCAACAGTCAGGGGGCAGTGGTTTAGCAACAGGTCTGGTAAAAACCTGCAGTATAGAACTCTAAATAGAGGTCCCTGTCCGGTGCATTCTGA